CATTTTACGGAGCTATCAAGATGGTTTGACCCATTTATCTCGTCGGGCTCTCGGATTCAGTTAATCAGATCCGGGTGTTTAAATCTGTTAAAACGGTTAGAGTCGAACCGAGACAAGACACGAGCCAAGCTCAAGCTCATCAACGGACTAACTCATAGCTCAGGGATTCTCGTTTTGGCTCTAACCACTACATTGATTGTAACCATAGCCTCTCACGCCTTTGCTTTGATCATAGCCGGTCCGACTCTTTTAACCGGTAGATTCAAACCGGCCGGTTTAAGAAACAAGCTAACGAAAACAGCTGCTCGGCTCGACGTGGCTGCAAAAGGTGCTTACATTTTAAGCCGTGACTTGGACACGATAAGCCGGTTAGTGACTCGGATTAACGATGAGGTGGAGCACGTTCGAGCTATGGCTGAGTTTTGGGCTGGGAGAGGGTCCGGTCGGGTTCGAGCCAGTGAAGAGGTGGCTCGAGAGTTGAAGAGATGTGAAGAGAGCTTCAGTGAAGAGCTTGATGAGCTTGAAGAACATATCTACTTGTGTTTCATGACTATTAATCGGGCAAGGAATCTTGTGGTTAGAGAGATTTTGGATCCTGATGATCCACCTGATTGTTCATTCGCTCCCAAATCCAAATAATTAATTTGTATTATAATTCCTTACAATTGTATAATTTCTTAGTATCTTACCTTGTATTAGATTTGTATTTAGTATTTACCATAAACTGTTTGAAGTTTATATACTCTTTGGTTAAAAAAAAATCATATTCTACAAAAATATCCTAAGTCCAGTATATAGTAATCGAATGAACTATCTATGCCAAGATGCGTTCAGAATGGCTTGCCCAGCAAACTTGTTCTTAAGTTCATCTGTTGTAATGTCATATTTAGGCAAAACTTTGCATGCATTATTGTATCTCTCCTCGCTCTCAATTTATTGACTTGCGAAGCTGTCTTTACATATTTTAACCACGAAGACGTGCATACTATTATTATGCTCTGCAATATGTTACTGTATATTCCAAAGAACATATTAAAAGTTTGAACTATATTTAGATACTAAATTATGATTATCAAAGTTTACCAATAAAATTGTGTATCACCGTTATCTCACCTATTAGTTTTTAAATAAATATAATTTCTTTAATAAACATATTTAAAGTTTCATAAGCTTTATGTTAATTAATTAATCGCAAGTTATATTAAAACTAAGTAAAGTCACATTCAACACATCAATTATGCGAGCTTTGTATATGTAGGATATGTTTCAGTATATACTTGTTATAATCAACCTTCTTACGTTATTTTATTTCACATCATGTCATTTTTCTAAATATTCAATGTATTTTAATCTTTAAAATTTATTCTACATAGTATATTCGATAATTATCTTTTAATATTCTTATTTTTGGGGGCAGCATTAATTAGGGTTCAACAAAAAAAGATAAGGTTCAAAGTAAATAAAATAAAAAAAATCGAAATACGCATATAGTAAAAGAAAATACACAGAGATTCACACACTGATTGAAAAAGAAAAGGACAAAAAACGAAATGTAAATGCAAAATTTCTTTTTCTTTCCCTTATTTGATGAAAATATGTTTATCTTGGAAAAGAGTGGAGGAGAGGTATATCTTTGTAACAGCTGCAGCGTACTTTTTTTTTTATCATTTTCACTTAAGATATGTATCGTAGAGAAGACTCTCCAAAGTATCAACAAATTTATCGGTGTAGCCAGTTAACAATCCAGGACTAACCAAAATCTCATTCAATTCGGCGTGGTTCCTCCTCACTCGGCGCCCTATTTCGCTATCTTTATCCATCACAGACATGATGGCATCGCTCAGGTTTTCTTTAGAGAACCATCCTGTTTCTTCTCTCTCCACCTCTACGGAGACCTCAAGCTCCTCTGTGAGCAATCTCGTGTTGAGAACCTGATCAGACAAATACGGAAGCAGTACTATCTGGCAGTCACTCATCAGAGACTCCCACATTGACCCGAATCCGCAATGGCTCACAAAGCAACCTACTGATGGATGAGCCAAAAACAACGGCTGCTGCACCCATCCTCCCCACACCACTCCACGCCCCTTCACCCGCTCCTCGAACCCTTCCGGTAACGCTTCTTGAATCGTCTTTGCGCATCTTGGTGGCTTTACCGCTACAAAAAATGGTAAACCTGTGAGCTCCATTCCTAGACAGAGCTCTTGGAACTGGTCTTTCTCGAGAGTGATTTGGCTGCCTAGTGCACAGTACACCACAGAGCCTGGCTCGAACCCGCTCAGCCAAAGATTCCATTGATCTTCAAGTGGTTTACTCTTGTCTGGCTCAGGAAGCATTGGACCCGTCAAGAGGATTTTCTTCTGGTACTGACGAGCCAAATACTCGCAGAATTTACCTTCGATCTCTTCGCAGTTCCTATTCGAGATGAAATCGCTGTTCGTGATTGCTGTGGTGACCCGGAAGTAAACTTCATTGTAGTAGACGGATAAGGACAACAAGGCGTGAGCATCATGTGCGCGGTACAAGACCTTTGATGAAGGATAACCAGGTGGAGGAACTCCGAGCTCAGCACCAGGGACAAGGTCGTGAGCTATGGTGTTGGCTGATACAATGTTGTACATCATACTCTTGACACTATGCTCTCTTGCCACCTCCGGAACCCAGTAAGCAAGATCGAAAAAGATCAGGTCCGGTTTCAGGGCACAAACCGCGGCTTCGACCTGGTCGCGTGTCAGGTCAAAGGCTTCGGTGAAGTTCTTCCACAACGTGACGGGGATATCGGAGACGGTGTCGGTGCCAGGAGGGAGACCATCCACGTGGGGAACAGTGATGAGGTGAAAGACGATGCTGTCTGGGAACAGATTGAGGTGTTCCAACTGTTTCTGAGCTTTCTTGGGCAGCAAGAAAGTAACCCTATGACCTTTCTCAGCTAACTTATTGGCTAGATGCAAGTAAGGAGTCATATGACCAAAAGCGAACATTGGGAACATAAAAGCGTGGAACTTTTGTCGTCCCATTTTTCTTATCAAAGTTTTCGAAACAAAAGCAGAACACAAAAATATAAAGTATTCAAAGGAAGCTAAAATAAGAAATATTTGCTTCTGTTTTTTCTTTCTCTTCTTTTCGGCTTTGAAGTTTTTGCGATCGAGATGCTCTTCCTCTTCCAAAGACATCCGTATATATATATAGTGGAGGTGTGCGAAAATTCCACAGATATTAAGTAAATCACGATTATAATTACTCCTACCACGTCTGGTAACGTCCCAACGGGTCGTCACGAATTACGTCAAAAGTCAGAACGTTGATTTGTTTTTGTTTTTCTTTATGATTAGAATTTAGAGCATGTGTTTAAATGATTATAATAAACTATATGAACAGGTAATCTTCAGTAAATAAATCCCTTAAATCATTTTAAAATGTATTATATCCATATTTTTATGTATATGAAAATCACTGATATCTTTGAAGATATTTCCAATCCAAGTATCAACCCACTCCGTGTAACTTAAACGGGATTCTTGCACTTCTAACCCACAATTTGAAGTCAATGGCAAAAGTAACCTGCTGTTTTTTTCATTTTAGCTTCACCCTGGTTTTTCCAGATAATAACGAAAATGCCATTACTTTTTTGGCCGGTGGTCTACGGCTGAGGTCTACGATATCCGACCAGAAGACCAACTGAACCTCATCCTCTACACTTATTAACGAAACTGCCACTCTCATCAATGAACTCAACCACCATTTTCAACCAACTCCAAGCTTTTAATGCTTCATACTATTAGTTGTGAAACTCCAAACATAATTCTACATCCCTTACATTCTAACTCTATCATTTTCTCCACATTTTCATCCCAAAAACTCTCTAATTCTACTTTTTCATATTTCAAGTTCTTGATTTTCTCAAAATCGGGTTTGTGGCTTTCCTCACCACCGCCGAACGGTTGTGAAGGCTTAAAGACAAAGTTTCATCCCTCGGCGGCCCTAAAGACGACGGCCAGGTTGTGGTTTACTCCATTTTCGTTTTTTCAGATCTGAGTCGATATCGTAGATCTCAGGGTTAGGTCTATAGGTCAACGCATAGGTTAGTTTTGCAATTGACTAAGACAAATCTGTGGAGTTAGACCGCGTAGAGAGTTCTAAATAATCCCTTTGAAAACAAAAAAAATATCGTAAACCTCAAGCAGAGGTCTATTTTGAAAACAGGTTAGTTTTGCAATTGACCAAGGGAGGGCTTTTTTTTTTAGGTCTACAGATGAGGTCTATTGGTCAAAGAGGTTAGTTTTGCAATTGACTGAAATTCTGGTTTTTACCTTAGACCTCTTAATGTGGTCTATAACAACAAATTTTAAGCTGACGTCTACGCAGAGGTCTACATAGGTTTTAGATCTCAGTCTTAGGTCTACCTTAAAAAGTTGGTCAACGCAAAATAATAGGAGGTCTACGATAGTGGTCTACAGGTGGAAAAAAATTTCAAACAATTGCAAAAGTAACCTGTCTGAGGTCTACAGATTTCGTAGACCTCCCCAGTAGACCGTATAATTTTGCTAGACTACAGGTTGAGGTCTATTTTGTTCGTGAGGTCTACCCAAATTTTTTGGATGAATTGCAAAACTAACCTCTTTTTTTGTAGACCGCATTTGTAGATCTCAAAAAAGTCTTCCCTTGGTCAATTGCAAAACTAACCTTTTTTAGACCTCTTTAGTAGGTTTACGTCTAGATCTGGTTGGAGGTCTACATTTTTTCCGTTTTTTAAAATCGATTTTCTGCGAAATTTAAATTGTTTTTGTTAATTTTTTTTCATAAATACTTCTGTTAGCCTAATAACTTGTCCCTATGAGAGTTTTGCATGCTAATGTTATGTAATGAAGGTTGTATTAGATTTTTGGTTAAATTTGGTAACTTGGTTAAACTCTGTAGACCGCAGCCCAATGTGGAGGTCTAACGTTTCCGTCTACAGGGCATCCATCAATATATATTAATGTGTTTTCCCTTTGGTTTTCATGCAGATCATGGTTTGTTTGGCATCCGTGTATGGAGTGTGGACTATCAGAGACAGAAAATGGTATTTTGAGGTTGATAAAACGAGAGGAGGTAGAATGTTCTACCTGCAGGATGATTGTAAACATGAAGAGCTGGTTGAAATGGTTGTGAACGACTACATGTTGCAAGTTAATGGCGAGCTGCTGGAGTTGTCATATCCATTACCAGCTGCTATGATGGAGAAATTGCCAACGGATTCACCTCCTATGTATGTGACGAACGACAGACAAGTTGGGAGCTTGGTGGAGTTATGTAAGGAGCATGTGGTCCGTCTTTGCGTCTCGACCCGCGTTGGTATGGGAAGGAACTACAACGAACCAATACATGAGTGTGTCCAAGAAGAAAAGTCTGAAGAGGTGGATAAAGAAGACACGTGGAAGAAGAATTCGGTGATGAAGGCTGGGATGATAACGAGTCTGATGATGTAAACTGGAATGACAAAGCATGGGATGTAAATTCAGAAGATGAATCTGATGATACTCATGACAATGATAGTGCTGATGATGTCGACAACCCCGACGATATCGATGCAGATTATAGTAAGTATGGCAAGGTGAAAGATGAGGAAGAGGGTGAAGAGAGTTTGTCTTTCCGTGAAAGGCTCCGTAGAGGTGTTTGGAATGGTGGAAATGGAGGGTTCACAGGCACTTGGTGTGACACTATTCTGGTAAATCACAGCTATGCCTCTAAAGAAGCCCTTCTTTCTGAGTTGCGACTGACGGCTGTGATGGCAAGATTCGCATTTAAAGTCTACAAGTCCACTACGGATTTGTTTGTGGCAAAATGTGTTGTCAATGGATGTGCATGGAAGTTGAGAGCAGCTGTGAAGAATGAACCGGATTGCTTCTGGGTTACCAAGTACGTAAAGGGTCACACTTGTTCAATTATGGACCGTGTAGCTCACCGTAGACGAGCTACTCCAAGATATATTGGACAATTGTTTGTGGAGCGGACTGGACTCATAGATGGAATTGTCCCTCGACAAATTGCAGATTCGATGAGGATCATGTTTGGTCTGAATCTTACCTATACAACGTCATACCGGGCTCTCAAATTCGCTCAAGTATTTGTCAGGGGAACTCCAGAAGATGGATATGCTAACCTTCCTTCCTACCTTAGAAGACTGAAGCAAGCAAACCCTGGCACTATAACACACCTGCTCTGTGATGAAGAAGATCGCTTCAAGTACTGTTTTGTGGCGTTAGCGGCTTCAACAGCGGGATTTCAGTACTTGAAGAGGGTTATTGTGGTTGATGGAACACACCTTACTGGGAAATACGGAGGCACATTACTCGTGGCATGTGGACAAGATGCAAACTTTCAAGTATTTCCTCTAGCATATGGTGTTGTTGATGCGGAGACTAATGAGTCTTGGGGATGGTTTTTTGATAAATTACAGACTTGTTTCTCACCACATCCGATGGTCATTGTTTCAGACAGAGCATTGTCCATTGAAAATGCTTGTGTGAATGTGCTTCCATGGGTCACTAGAGGAATATGCTACTACCATCTTCAGCAAAATATTATCAAGACATATGGTGGTAAGGAGCTTATGTATCTGGTTAAAGGAGCTGCTTATGCCCACACTCTAGCTGAATATAATCGGTGCATGGACTCACTAAGAGCTGCGCACCCAGACCTCGCAGCATACATGGAGTTGGCCGACCCTAATGATGTACTCAATATTTACATCATTTAGACATAGGATTTCATGCATATTTGCATACTTGCATCACTCATTACACTCATTATAGCTCAATTACCTTCCATTGTATGCATTCATACCATTTAGAGCATACATTGCATACATTATGCATTTGGAGTTGTATTTAGGTGTTTTTGAGGAGTTTAGAGCTAGTATGGGAGGTTGGAGATTAAAAGAATACTCAAGAGTTCGCAACCAGGATGTCAAACAGGTTCAGAAACCTTTTTCTCGCCTTTCAGCTGAGTGTTGACCAAGAGGACGAGTTGACCCGTGTTGACTGAGCTTTGACCACTATCCATCTGTACCAAACCGGGATTAAATCACAATCTTTGGAGTCTAAACCAATTGGGAAGCAAGAAAAGTCAAGATAAATGAGTTGACCAAGGGTTTTGGAGTCTCCAAGTATAAATAGATTAAAGTCCTATTATTTTAGGCATCTTGTAATCTCTTTCTCTTAGACTAAAAACTCTTTCCCCTTTGTTCTTAATCAAAATTTGGATCTTTTATGAGTTTAATCTATTTGAGAGTGTTTACTTGATCATTGTTTCTCCCTTCATCTTCCTAATCATGATTATCAACTCCCTTTTCTTTGGGCTAGTTGATTTAATCATGATTAGGGAGTAGTTGTTTTAGGGTTTAGGGATGGGTTAGATTTAGAGAGATTTAATGATTGATTGATGATGCTTAGGCTTAGATTGCTTATATCCTTTCTTGTTTGGTGATCTTAATGCTAGATTAACTTTGAGAAAAGTGATTTAGATCAAAGGACATTTCACACCCACAAGGTGTTTGATGAAATGTCCCAACCAACTAAATCAAGAGATTTACATTCTTAGCTCATGATAATGATTGTTTAAGGTGTTTATTGGCTTGATAGAACTTGTTTATAATGCTTGCTAATTTCGAATTTCACTAATGATGATTAGTTATGAGATTTGTATTTAACAAAGTGATTAGTTCCATGAGAGTGGATTAGTCTTGCTTAATGTGTTCTTGCCTAAGGATTATCATTCACTTGATTGTTTGAGCATCATAGATTAGTCAAAGAGTCTCTCTAGTTCAATGATCCCATCCCAAGACCCATTTGCTTTGCTTGTTTTACTTCTTTAATTTTCGTTTTTGTATTTATCTCTTGAGTTTGGCTTCTTGTTTCAAACTCTTGCTTCAATATTTATGTTTGATTCTCATTTAGGTTGCTAGATAAAAACCTTTCTTTGATTTGGCTTAGCTTAATAAGTTTCATGCATTCCTAGTGTTTTAATCTTGATCCCATTGGATTGACACCTCAAATGCTACAATGACATGAGTAGTGGATTTGAGTAATTGGTAGCAAAAAGCCAACTATCACCTAAGCTTTGGTCTAGAGTACATTTTCCCGGTGATAGGTACAACATCAAGACGAGCAACATTGCTGAATCTATCAACTCGGCTATTAAAAAGGCAAAGGGTTTTCCCATACCCTCTCTACTCCAGTTTATTAGAGAGATGTTAGGGCGGTGGTTCTACAAAAGGCGTGAAGATGCTTTAAATCTGCAGACACCATACAGCAAGGGAGTTGAGTATATACTGGCCATCCGTGAACATTACGCTCAGTCAATGGATGTTCAGCGGATAGATGCAACTAGTTTCCATGTTGCTTCTGGACGTTCGCACTATGTAGTTGATCTAGAACAGGGTAAATGTGAGTGTGGAGTGTTCCAAGTCGAGAAAATGCCCTGTACACATGTCCTTGCAGCGCTTGCCTCAGCTGGTGTGCACGTCTCACACCATACATGTGACACATACTCGCAGGAATGCTTGTATGCGACCTACGCCCATCCTATATATCCTGAGGAGGAAATTGACAACCACAAGAAGAAGAGCGAGCGGTGCCGACCTCCAAAACCGAAGGATGGGCCTGGTCGTAAGAAGAAATCAAGATGGCAGTCGTGGCTGGAAATTTCTAGGAAGTCTAAGAAGAAAGGCAAGAGTCGAAGGAAGAAGCCCAAAGTTTACAGCTGCTCCAAATGCAAGCAACCAGGACATACGCGCCCGTATTGTGTAAGCTTCGTGCGTCCCGCATTCCATTAGTTTTCATTACACAACCTCTGTAATTTGTTTGCTCTTCACTAGGTGTCCAAGCCTGCTGAGAAGTAAACTCGGCGGTCTACGAGCGGTCTTCCGGAGGTCTACGAGGCTTTCACGTAGCTTCTCTGGAGGTCTACGAGGTCTACGAGGCTTTAACGGAAATTCAGTGGAGGTTTACGATGCCTACTAGACGTTATCTCGCGATCTGCTTATACATTCGTGGAGGTCTACGAGATGTTCTCTGGCGGTCTATTATTGCTTTCGTACTATTTGATCATTATTATTGTTTAATACTAAGTGATGATTTCCTTTTCGAGACAAGCCCTAATACTAAAGACGGATTTCATTTCATTGCTTAATGCGAGTCCGAATAGATACATCCGAAATAGTTATACAAAATAGTTATACAAAAGGTGAGATCAATGTTGTCAAGAGGGGCCTCAAAAAAATATAAACCCTCCCTTTCACCGTTAGTAGAGGGGCACAATAAAATTAACCCACCCTGAAGCCGTTACTAAAGTTAGATCAGCATCTCCCGTCGAAAGGATCAAGACCGTCCCAGTCACGGATCCTCGGTCCCTTGCAATCGGTCTCCTTGAAAATGTCACAAGCATACCTACTCCGAATTGCCTTGACGTTCTTGTTGCACAGTGAAGAGGCTGAAAAATCGTTTCCAGTTGCGTGACACTCGATGTATTTCAGACAGTAGACACCGCAATCCCCGGGACCCTTTTGCTCCGGCACACCAGCAACCCGTTCGTGAGTAAATTTATCGAACGGATAGTTGTCACGTTCTTCCACCAGTGCCATCTCGCGTAACATGTACGCCATCATCACAGCCACGGGTTCCACCTCCGTCGCCAGTTCTTCATCGTCCATACGGCAGGGATAACTATCCCAGATCGTGATGTGCCTCTTCGGTAAGGAGATGAATAGAGCAACCCAGTGGTTCTTCCCAATGTTAAACGGGAGATATAGGTCGTCAATGTCCCTGCACCATCGTTTATTCGTCTGGCAGAATTCTGGTTTCGTGCCTTGGAAGTAGTCAAGTGAGTCAGGTGGGAGGTACTTCCCAAGTCCAAAGACATTAGGCTCAGACTTCTTGAAATCGTCATACTTTGCCGTCCAAAACAGACTAAGACCACTATCGATGAGACAAAGCCTGTCACTTCTAAAGCTGTGCGGTTGTTCTTTCATTCTGAGCCGCAGCAGATTGATGACCGCGTCCATGTGCTGATGAAAAGAAAAAGATTGAATATTGCATTACAATTACACTAAACCTCAATATGCGGTCTACAAAAGAGAATTATGACAGAGGTCTACTCATGCGGTCTAAACATAGACCTCTCTAAATGGTGTACTAATGCTTACCGAGTCCGATAGCCATTGCGGCTGCGTAATGAGTTCCCACCACCAATACCACACGGGAAACTTATCCTTGTCAAGCTTTGGATACCCACTAAAGCAAAAGTGTGTAATTAGTATACTAATCACAATAATCGGAATTATAAAGAAGTTTTCCAGAGGGTTACTTACGCTGTAGACTTCAGGAACGCCGTTAGTTCCTTCCGAACATTCTTGTCTTCGGGCAGATACGGATTGTAGACCGCTAAGCGCTGCTTCTTGTTACGTATGAGCTCCTTAACCGTAACGTTTCCCACGAACGGAGACTTTTGAGATGGGGCCAGTTTCCTTTCCCTCTGATCCTTAGCCCTGATACTCATTAGTTTCGCGTTGAACTTTCGCTGATTCTTCCTGATGTCTGCTAGGCATTCTTCTTTGCTTGGCACATAGGTCTTAACATATGCGACGCTGCTGTCGTCCCGGTTAGCACTGTTTGATGGACCGGCGTTTTGGTTCTGCATTTGAGGACAATTTGAGTTTGAAAAACAATTCAGACCACAACAAATAGGCACAAACACTCTCGGAACATTTATTGTAAGTCAAGTAAACAGGTTCATTAAAATTACACACATGATTTGCAAGGAAAGAAAAACGTGACAAGTTTGTGTTTATAGATTGAAAAAAACAACGGATTGGGCTCTACTTGGTCTTCAATTTTCTAGGTCGAAGGACCCTATCCTGGTCAGGCTTAAGTTGCACTTTACGCTTAACTTGCACTTTACGCTTATCTTGCACTTTAGAAGAGTTGGGAGATTTGGGAGAGGGATCAGTACTAACCGGTTGAGCAGTTTTAGCTTCTTTGGCGCCGGTCACATCTTCTTTGGCGCCGGTCTCATCTTCTTTGGCGCCGGTTTCATCTTTTTTGGGAGAGGGATCGTCGGATCTACGCTGCTCCTGAAGCCTTACATCCATCAGCTGCTTCACACTACGCTCCAGACCAGCAACTGTCGAGGTAAGTGCAGCTAGTTGCCGGTCATACTCTGGAACCCTGCCTTCAGATCAGCAGACAAGGTCCGGGTGCAGTCAGAAATCAACCTCTGCATCGTCTCCTCGATATCATCATAGTTCGATGGAGGAGTAGGACGAGGTCTCTTCTTCGAATCTGTGAAACTAGCCTCCACTTTTATTGGAGGCTTCACGTCCACTCGCGGGTGATTGGAGACCAAGACACCTTCCTCGTCCCAGTCGCTTGGCTTCCACCTCCACCGACCACCTAACTCCCCGTAGATTGCCTTGATGAGGTTGTCGACGTACAAATCTTCTACATCATCATCCCAGCGTGGATAAACTTCTTCCCTATCGACTAGCTCACAGTTTTTAAAAACAACCTGCAAAAACAAAACAAAATGAGTCCAGGTCTATCTACTAACTACTACTTGCCAGCAAGTACTCGATTCTCAGATTTATGTTTACCTGCTTCAGCATTGCCTCCGCGATGTACCTTTTGCCTTGAATACCCTTGTACGCAAGGAGCGGTGGTGATGGTTTAGATGGCAGAGGAGCACCGTATTTCTCTGCAAAAT